CTTCACAATAAATTGTGCATCCAGATATAAAGAGTCTCTATTCAAGAAAAAGTATAATATTCGAAATGCATAATTCTGATTCTGAAATTTTAATTAAGGAGATGGACAATTTATAGTTTTCTCAAATAACGTGTATTGTTACGCGTAAAGTAACGCGTTTGTAATGTTAATAAATGAAACACATTTGTAAATTATTCTTATATTGCTTTATTGTCATTATATTAGTTATATGAATGTGCACGAGAATCTTTAAAAAAAAATACTATTATCTGTAATTTGTTAGGTGTTACAATTTTTGGCAAAGGGGTAGCTACCTTCTCGAACTTACCTTTTCACACGAAAGATACTATTTTTAGCTCTTCTTTCAGAGGGTTGCATCGGTAACGCGTCAGTGGTGGGGTGTTCTTTCAACCTCATCCCCAAAACTCGTGTGGGTAGTTAGACGAGGGTGTAGGTCTCTGTGGATATAGGGTGAAAAGGGTGCTAGAGGGACGAAAGAGGGGTCGGGAAAGGGATTGGAGGACGACGAAGAGGAGATACCTACAGCAACCACTGTGGAAGCAGTGCCACCAACCCCTAGGGACCATTGATCTGACATTCCAGTAGTGACGTCACTCTGCCCACGCAAGCGGGTCAAACGTCATGAAAAACAGCAGTGCTGGTGCTATCTTCTCTTCCACCAAGAATTCAATAAATGGGGACTCGTGGCATTTTTGTAAAATCGTGCCATTTTTGCTTTGCTATGCGATTACAAAGTGTTAAAATTTTACATTTGTCAACGCCATTGGAAATAAATTTTGCACCTTTAAAAGTGATTTCAGATTCCTTTTCTGATAAAGCGAATTTCGTTATGTCACGTTTCACTGTTGGAATTATATTTATATGTGAAAACGTAATTTTTGAAATATGAAAAAGTATATTTGAAAAAAGTACATTAGTAGTTAATGTTCGAAACAGAATTTATTCTTCTATTTTGTTTTGGATGCTGTTAATTATACCTAGATAGAATTATAAATTAACAATTATCTCAATTTATTTATTGACCTACATAATATTTTAACTGACATATAAGATACACAGACATTCCATTCGATAGTAAAAAAAAAACAAACAAGCTTTCACATTTTCTCATAACTCTCCCACGCTATTCAAGAAGATCTTGAAATTTTAAAAAAGCATCAAAACATTTTACCCAATATTGATTCTTCGTAGCAATAACTTCGTGTATTCCTTTTTTTGGTTTCAAGCTCCAAACAGAATTCATTCGTGTCTCAAGATCGGATAATTCGCTCTTATAAGTGACGCAGAAGCGTTTTCACGTAGCGTTAATCGCGCTGCCTGAATGCGGCTGGAGTTTTGTCTTTCGCGAAGGCGAGAAAGTGAATCTAGTAAAGCGGCTTTTTCAACAGCTTTTCACGTCTCGTACTTTCTTGAGATCGCGTCTTTAAAAAGCTTTGGCTTGACACAGTGCTGGCAGATCGGCGTAAATCCCAACAAAATATAAGAATTTTTCCGCCTTCGCTTTTCCAGCACATCGCCACTTCCAATATTACGTATCTGAGAAACAACTGTCGTGTATGAAGTAAAGCCATCCTTACATAAAACTTATAAACTTAATCCATACTTACACAAAATATTATTTCCTTACTAAAAAAAAACATTTTTATTTTAATTAATAAGAAACTAATATTTAATTAGAGAACTTTTTATTATTATTTTTTTTAATATATCGATCAGATACATTATCAGTGGGATAATGTTTTAGGGTATCGAATTAATATATTTAGAATTACCTTATAAATTATTTATATATCGATAAAATATTTATAAATTCATCATAATCATATCGCGCCAATGAATATCATAAAAATATCAAGATTTCTATACATATACAAAAATTTTTTAACAAAATTCACCCGGATGTACTTTTTTACTTTTTCATATATACCACGTGATCGCCGTTAAAGAAAAATAAAATTCCTCCTTAGGTTACTTTCACGCAAAATTCAATTCAGTAATTGACGAACTGCTTCCAATCATTAAATTCCATCTTCCAGGTGAGTTCTTCTTTTGATCACATGTGCCTAGCGATACGCCGGTTTCTTTTTACATAAAACCTCCACCCTCTACTCTTTCCTTAGAGCAGCTGTGCCCGAGCACAAGTTAAGGAATGAAATCCAGTAACATAGAAAACTTGCGCGAGATCTTATTGAGTCTGTATAAAAAGAAAGAAAAAGAAGACTTGATAAAAGGTTAGTCCGTGCTCAGAGTAATAAAAAAAAATTTTTAAATAGATTGATCCTTGTATGGTACGCCTTATCCGAACTCTCAACGATTTCTATTATTGCAAGCGATTGGATGATGTCCTAAAGATAAAATTGACATTTTGACAAATCCAAGGGTTCCACGTTATTGTGCTACGGCACTGAATGAAATTCAGAGTGTAAAGACAAGAGGGAAAGTAGTGTACGGTCGAAAGATCCTTACGCGGCAGAGGACTAAATTGCTTGTTTCCAACGTTTCTGGTATACGGCAAAGATCCACTTATTTTTGGATTAGGTTACATACCTAGCTGTGTTCTTTTTCTGCTACTTTCGAGCATGTTGCGTTCTTTCAAGTTTTTTACGTATAAAAATAATATAAAGTCTTTGTACTGTTTCTAATGCCATGTACTTAAATATGTGTTGTAAAATTGAGATAAACTGTCGTATCCACTTTGTAGAGAATATAGTTTCTGCTTTTAAAAAATATTGTTTCGCGAAGAGAAAAGTTCTTGATGAGAAAGTATGGATATTTGGAAGATCGAAACTTTCTCTTGAGACGCTTGTACGCTTCTAAAAAAAATTAACAGTTCGCTGTATCTGCTTTGTACAGTAATGGATACTGGTTGATTGTTCCTACCAGGTAATTGTAATTCATAATACTAATTATTTACGTTATTGCTAGCGGTTTAAATATTTTTCATAGCAATCTCCTAATAATTATATAACTACATTCATATAAATTCATAATATGCTTTACGTCAGAAATTATTTAAAAAATCACTCAGAGTTTTGTATCGATCGAAATAAAAACTTAAGTTTCAATTTTTGTCAATATTTCGTAAGTATCAGAAAAATAAAATTACTGTAAATTGGGTTACTGCAATTTAATATTAACGAAAATAAATATTAATGAAGATTTGATAATGATCATAGGTACAAGGTATCAAAGGAGATGTAACGATAAGTAAGAAAAGAAAAAAAATGATTTAATCAGACCGAATCTACTTGGCGTCTACTTCCTAAGTAACGGTATATGTAGTAACATAAGTTTGAGTATCTTTAAGAAGGGTGTCTTAGAAGGATGAAGACTACAAATTACGCCCTTGGGAACTGGACTCTTTTATGTAAACCAGTCAGAAATGTTGGCAAAACGCGGAAGAATATTAAATATTGCTATACTATGTATATTAATACCTGAAATAATTTTTTTCACTAAAATAAGTGAGAGGAAACAAGGTCTTTTCCGTTCAAAGAAAAAAGCCTCGATGAACAACACAATGGCCTCTGTACGGTGGTCGCCATTTCCATGTGGAGAAGTGAAATTTTCGAGTTGCCATTTATCCGACATCAGGCTTGTTCAGGAGCAGTAGGGTGGCTAGCGTGTTTCAGTATGTTAAACACACCCCTTCCTACACCTTATGCCTCGGCCATTTTGAACCCTAGAGATGACCTTCGCTCAGCTTTAGAAGTTTACTGGGTTTGTTAACCGTGTCACTAATCTCGTGGCAGAACGGCACGTGTTCGCTATTATAACAAAAAGAAATTTTCTTTTTATTCAATCTCCTCTTGTTTACACCTTTTCTTGGCTTTCAATTATAACTCAAAGCTTGGGAATATACTCCAGACTTTTTGTACTGGCTCCTTTTTTTAAACGGGTAACTGTACTATAATCAAGCCGGGACATCAGTTTCACTTTAAGGGGCCATCTCCTTACGACCCGAATGGTAAATAAGTCCCCTCAAAGTGGAACTGATGTAGCGGCTTTACTGTAACTACCTTTGTCAAGAAAGTCGTGTCGAAGTGGTTGTATCTCTATTGGTTTGTATTTCTTGCCAAGAAAATTCCATCCGTATATTAAAGCTTCCGCGACGACGAATTTACGAGTCCGTCCGAAATGCCAAAGATCCCGTGCATTCTTGGAAAATGGCAAACATAGTATATACGATGTATGATATATTTATGCTATGTACCAAGTAGAACTAAAGGTTATAATGCATCAAAAGGTATGTTTAAAATCTAGTTCTGTACATCATAATATTCTTTTTTGGATTTGGTCACCTTTTTCTATATTTCATTTAACTAACAAAACTTAATTGGCAGGTGCCTCGAGACTATTTTTTATTATTTAACAACTTCTAAAAAGGATACACGTTAAATATAATTAAACACAGTTTTTAATTTCTTTGAATTTATTTGCTTCGTACGGTTCACAGTGTTAATCAAAGCCGCTCAAGAAATAATTAAAGGGTATAATTATCAAGTTATGCATAAACCGTAATATCAATGTTGGCTTATTCAGAATAAAAAAAAAATAATCGATTCCCATTCAATCTATCATAAGCACTGAATATCATATACTAATTCCACTAATTGTCCTATATGTATGACTTAAAAATCAAGGCAAACAAATCCCAGATATAACTTCAAGTTGATGATTCATAACCACCAAAATCATAAATATGCCCAACAAACTCCCACCATAAATCAATTAAATGATAACACTATACAGACAGACTGTCGAATTTTCTCCGAATTTAGGTAAAAGGAATATCCAGAGGTGACGCACAGATTCCCATACAGGATCCCCCGTTTCTTCCCTGTTCTTGCTTGCGCCCTCTCCGTCCACCTCATGCCACCCCGCACCATCCATCGCCCTCATCCAGCGTGCACGTTCCTCTTTCCAGCCCTCCTTTTATCGATCCTCCACCTCCGACAGAATTGCTGGCCCGCGTACGCTGTCGCCTCTCAGTGGCTGCCCGGCCACCACGCCGGCACTACCCCTTCGATAACGAGCGCTAAGAATCGGGATAACGTTGGCACTATCGTGTACCCCCGCTAGTCAGCTTCCCAGTGCATCTATCTACTTGCCAGTCAACCCCTGCAGCTGGGTACAGGCTGCACGTGCATTGTCCTGCAGTGGCGGCGGCGGCGGCTGCTGCTGCAACTGGAACGTCGCCCGCGCAACGGTTTTTCTTTTTCTTTTTTTTTATTTCTCTTCCGGATAACGCGCAGTGATTCCCGTTCACGATTTGTCAAATCGATTTTTATTCTCTAACGTATTGCGAGGATCGAGCGTGATTTCTGTGCCGTGAGACATTGCTGGTGAGTTTTTGTTAATTTTCAATATTTGAATTTGGTATCTGGTTGTCGGTTGGGTTGGCGGAGATTTTCGTTTGTGCACGTTGAGTTTAATTCATGCGACGAAGACAGGGTCGATTGATGGTTTCATAGTGGTTATGCTATTACTACTGGGTGATGTGTTAAAAAAATATTATAAAAATTCTTTATGCATTATTTCTTTGTCTGGAGATTAATTGCAGTCACGTAACAAGGAATGCATTTGATTCACGGCCAGTCAATTTATTCCATAGGAATGTTGAGTGAAGAGTTGGTGTTTCTTTCTTCTTGTTCAACAATACGCTGTAAGGTACAATAACAGGAGTAGCAATGCTAAATAGAAATACTGATGCCGCGGGAAGTATCATTGTGTATATTCCAGTCAATGCACAGCTCTTACACGCGAAAATGTTAATTTTGAAATGGTGCAACCGGAAAGAAAAAACTTGCAGTCAGAAAATATCGAAAATTTTCGACGAACGAATCTAAGCTAATATTTTCTCGTTTTCATTACTCCGCTCTTAGGTATCATCGAAATGTTCGATTATTGATATTTCTTATGATACTTTAAACGAATCGTTACTCCAGACTAAGAAGACGGAAATCGGAGTCTGTTGGTTACAAACGTTTGGCGATCGTATGCCAAAAAATATTGTGATTGACGAAATTGTCTTATTTATGAAAAAGTTATGCAAACATACAGACACTATTTATTTGCCCTGATCCGTTTATGATAATTATTTTGTTTATTTTTTCATTGTCATTAAGTCGTTATACTCGCACAATCCTCGTAAGTCTGTCTGGTCGAAGAATGGTTACACTTCAGGAGCATTGGCAAACGAATAGATATTAGACGGCATTAGTGCACTAGTAGCTCAAGCAGCATTCGCGTGATAACGTAAAACGTAAAAATAGCAATGTAAACGGTCCACTTGTACTGAGTTATCGCGAATGATGTTATCCTGTAACTGTCCTTGTTCCACGACCGTCGTTTTCCTCATGTCAAGGTAAAGGTATATCAATTCCGTCAGATCATCGGATAATGTCAAACGCTCAATGTAATTGTTAAGGAATAATAATACCTATTGATTACGGGGGAAAAAACGGAAAATTTGTCCGTGGGGATTTTTCTGTAAATTAAACAGAACAAAATATTTGCGTATAAATCATACGTATATTATTTCCATTTGAATTAGGTTATTAAATAAAGTTTTTTATATAATCAATCTTTAATGAGTACTCTCATTGAACTTTTTTTTACATATTAACAATTTTTCTATTAATATAACATAGTTTAAAAATTATGTAGTACATAGATGACTCAGTATTTGATCTTACTGACAAGCTTATCTTTAAAAGATGAATGGCTATTGTACAATGATCCTATACTAAACTTGATAATTTCAAATGCAAAATTAAGCAGAGTAGCTGTATGCTAGATATTTAACCATAAACTTTGGATTCATAATTCTCTAATAATCTGGTTTCCATACTCGTTTTGTACCCATGAATAGGAAGAGTGGGAAATTCTTTAAAGCCATTCAATGTGAAGGATCATTGACCTTTTCTGCATAATTCATATTGCATGAAAGAGATCAATGCTAGATATGGTAAATAATAGAAAAAAATAGATTTGCGTAGACACGAGCAGAGGAAAGAAATCGTATATGAAAATTAAAAAAAATAAAATGATAAAAGGATTTTTATGAATATACGGGTTAAATGGACAATCGATCGTCTTCAAATTGAAAATAGAATGCTATCGGTTGTTATCGATAAATTAAGAAAGGTAAAACTACTGGCCGAAATATTCGCTATGCAAAAATCATGTACGAAGTACATATAACGATTTCAATCATTCCTCTCCTACAGAAAGTTTTAAACTTAGAATTTACTGGCAAATTGCATCCCTTGAAGAACTATCCAACGTTGCAATTACCATACAATTCCTATTCGTTGATATGAATATGTATAATTATTATAAAGCTATAAAAACAAGCTATTTCGCTAGAAATATTATTTCCTCTTGCTTGTTTCAATGGTATTAAAATCAAGGTAGTATACATGTATCATGTTAGCTTATACAATATATAACAGTAAAGTCCCTTTAATGTAGTCTCAGAATATTTATTGAACGTACAAACGACCTGTATGTTTAAACCTTCTACATAACTAATATTAAATATCGGTATAATTTTCCTTTAAATAAGGTGAAATGTATCATACTAAGACTTAGCCAACGTCATTGACGGTCCTAAACAAAATTGCATATGGTTTTCCTATTTAAGGTCTGTGCTCATGAATTTATTAATTTTACAACTAGTATGTCTACGTTTGTGTTCTTCTTTATCCCGGGTATGGTCTTACTTCTCCTATAGTCCAAAAGCTAGTATTAGACGCGACTTATTGGAACAAAAAAATGTGTCTAAGTAAAATTCTGTAAATCCTCGCACTGTTGCCACGTGTTGGCCAGGTGGCAGAATCGATCAAATTATGATCGAATCTTACTTGAATATATGTACACATCAAAGTAACATGATTGCGTAAGATACTTCAATTCAAGTATACAAACGTATCGTAACAATAGTAAACGTTGAAGAAATAGTCGGACCCGAATAATAAGTATTTAAGAAGATTTATTTTCCGTGGTTTCAAGTAATATTTATGGTAACTTGAAATAACAGTTTTTTTATAGGAAAATTTTGCTCTATCACGTGTCATCTTTTCATCTCCAGTAATAATTATAAATAAAGTATATACTTATCGAATAACGTATAAAGCATTGTTGTCGGTTTTTCTTAATAACAAATCGAATTTTCGTAGTAAATAAATTCAAATTAAATTTTCATTTAAATAATACGTTTAAGCTAAACGTAGCTGTAGATTAAATTATGATAAAGAATAATGGGATGCTGAAAGCTCAGTCTACGAATACTTTGAAGTTCGATACGGGCCGTGATAAGAGATTCTAATAAGAGACTGAATAACCTCATATGTACTTCATAGGAGACTTAAAAGCCTCTTGATTCTGGAGATCATGTCATTCAGCTTTCTTATATAATTGCCAAGATAGATCAGCAAAGCGAGTAACCCTTATCGTAAGTGCATCGGTTGCAGAAGTCAGCAGAACGCGAAAAATTGCAACGCGAAATAAGGGAAGCTTTCATACTAGTATTGGAAAAACGTCGTTTTCACTTCGTTAACAAAAAACGCGATAATACTCTATAAACTAACCTTCCCAGACAACACAGATATCCAAAAGTCATCTTTAAGATGTCTTAAAACCAACTTCTGTGCCATTAGACGCCTCAGAGACAACTTTTGGACATTACGTGTTGTCTGGGTTGACTTGTTGACTTGATACTTGGATGAGCAGGGTGCCGTAAGGTTAGTTAGAAAAATAATTGATTAGTTAAGAGTTTGAAGGAAGGGGAGAAAATATATATTTTTTTAATGGTAATACTAGTAACAGCAACTAATAAAAATAATGGATGCGAAGATCACAACTACAGCAGGAAATGTTAAACTTGTTGTAATGTATATGTACGTGTATTCAATGAATAATGAAATTTCTGGTTTACCTGGTGGCTCCTGGTTGAAAGTAACGCAAGTCATGTAACGGGTACACACATTTGCATCTGGAAAGGTAAGGGTGGGTATACGACCTGCATAATATAGCAAACATGCCGAGTATTTCTAGAGCAGTCGGTTAAGAATAGAACAGCAAGTAGACTCCTGAATTATATATAGTCGGTGAACGAACTGCAATTAGATTACGGAATTTCATTCGAGTCAACGAGAGAATTAAAAATTACGTTACACCCTTGTATCTCGGCGGTCCCAGGTTCATTATTATTTAATCCTAGCGAAGACACCGTGCAACCTTTTCTTAACGTTATTATATGCATTTTTGTTCACTTATTTTGATTTGTAAAGATTTTTCTGCAAAGTTCATATAATAGTTTAGAAATAAATTTGGATTTTTTGGTATGGATCGAGCATGATTATTTGAAACAATTAGAAAGAAGAAAAAATTACCATGCGATTGAAATCATTTTTGAATTGATATATTATAAAGTATTTTTGGGGGATTTTTCATCGATTTTAATCATAAAAATTATTTTTATGTGAATTGAAGACATTTACTACTGAAGAGTTTTAAATTTGAATAACAAGTAGATCCTTTTTTAAAATGTAGAACGATCGACGTTTTTTCGTATATCGCATTCGTAAATCGATAGTGCGATCCTATTTCTGAAAAGAACATACAGAAAGGATAAATAATACAATAGTATAAAGTGGGTCTCGCTTTATGTTACACTATGATGACGTAAATTCGAAAATGAGCGTTGCCTGTAAATTCTATATTCGGGAATATTCCTCGTCGAATTACCGATCCTCTCGACAGTAATGGGTGTCACTCATAGGGATGCACTCTATCAAAGAGGGACGCACCGGTACACAATGAAACGGCTGAGCTGTTCAATAAGGCGAACAACAATGCTCATAGATAAGGCAATATTACGTCTCGTATTCCAATTCAATATTGTCAATTAATAGAACTAAAACGATCTCCAATAACTAAAAAATTCGAAATATATACAATAATAGCCGATACATTTATTGCAAAGAGTATGATTAGAATTTGCAAGTCATATATTATTATTTAAAATTATTTTTATCAACAAAAGTCTATATATTATATAAGGTAGCAAAGCCCTCAATAATTTCTGCGTATAATTGGCTTTGTCTGAATATACTAGCTTCTTATGAACAATAGTCATTGAATTAGTTTACAATTTAACAAATTATTCTCAAGTAACGATTTTTTCATAAAATCTCTGTACTCTTATAGATTTAAAGAAAATCAAGATGCCTGCAGCTGGTGCAGCAGTGGCTGAAGTGGCCGAGGGAGCAGGACACTTGGAGGGTCTGGTTGAGCCACCTGAGCCAAGAGAACGGGGTCCAACTGGTAGGGCAGGCTTGATGAAGCCTTTGGTCGTCCTGGCACTTCCTGGCATGTATCTCTTCTACAAGTACAGTCAATACAGACGGGAGCAGCGTGAGCTCTCTCGCAGAAGAGTCACCGAAAGGGAACTTCAGCATCTTCACCATAAAATCGTAAGTGGATATTTACGACACAGCATTTCTTGTTGAACGCATAAGTAATCGATCGGAACGAACGTTTTGTATCTTTAAACTATCATTTTCTTTTTTCACACAATTTATTTCCAATACTTTAACCTGGAACAAAAATGGCAGATTTTTTAATTAACATCTAGAGAGCCATACTTTTGTCAGGTTTTTCCAATTTTTTATGTACTGTATGACCTCAGGCATTGACGCCTCTGGCACTGATCGACCTTTCGCACTGACTGTTGTTTGTAAACCCTTGGAACTGACAGTATTTGCCAGCGGGGTGGCAGTGCTGTCGATAAACTGTGGGGTTATCTGGGCGCGTCTAGGAAGACTAGTCTCCCTGAGTACGTCCCTGGCGCTCAAACGCGATTGGATCACAGTAAGGTTATGTGAAACGGTCAGTGCTTGAAACTTCGTGCATAAAGTCTAATTGCCTGAGGTCCGATTATATTTAAGTGACATAGTTTATTTAAATAAGTAACGAAAGACTAGCAATCAGTTCCGCACTTATACAAAGGCAATCCGGAGGTTGATAAGACATACAGATGCTTGGAATTGGCCGAAATGATCAACTGAAATAAACTTAAATAAACAGGTTATTTAAGCTAATACATACACATAAAAAATATGAAGGTTTCTCTGAGTCCAAAGGATAATTAAAACGTCCAACATTTTTGTATATTTTTTTTATAATCAAGTCGCATGAATAGAATACTTGATTAAATAGGGCAAATTGGCGTAAATATCATCAATGCCCTTGATATCGTTAAACCATCAAAATATAGGTTTCAAGCAACGACAGATAATTGAGACGGAGCGTAATTGAAATGAAAAATGAAATAATGACCAGAATTGGGCATAATAATTCTATACCTATCTATGCATATAATGCTTGAATGTTTTAATGGCTCCCCGAGTTTACGATCGACCGTCCACAATAAGAATCAACTCCACTCGTCGCGCTATCTATTCTTTATAAAAGGCCAGTATTATCCCATTTAGTACCACTCAGTCCTCCAGTTCGCCCATCGCCAACACGACGGACGATAAGGTAAAGGATCTTTTTTCCAATTTAATTCAAGTATGCTTGCACATCGTCAAAGTACCGGTTATCAGATTTTCGAGTTCCCTTGTAACTAAGGGTTATCCGGCCGTATCTGTGCACACGTGGCCATATTACACCTCATTAGCAAATACCAAGAGCAAGGTGTGACGGAACTGATAACAAGGTAGTTTCCAATAGACCTTACAGCGATTACTAACAAAATGAGTATAAGATGCACGGGACAAAAATTACAGCTAGAGATAAAAAAGATGGCGAATAAAAAAATCTTCCATCGCAATAAGAGGAAAAAAGGTCCGGACGGAGTCTAGGTACAGTGGTGTTGATGAGGGAAGGCGAGGACGTTGAAGACAGGGACAGAAAGAGAGAGGAGAGAGAAAGAGAGATTCAATTATCCGAAGATAACGCGATCATCGTTCACTGGAAAGTCTCTGTACCTTCTTTCCTAAAGGGTAAAGCCGTTTTATCTCTGTATATTTCGAGGCCTTATTAAGTGTCCTCCGGCAGACAGTGAAGGGTCATAATGCGCTTTCAGGTACTCACATCCGCTTGTTGAAAGAGGCAAGTGGCTCCTGCGCTTAACTTCCTCTTCATTCAGGGATATGAGAAATTCCACCGTTTCTTTTATTTAATTTTCCAAAAAATACCTGAACGTTATAATAATCGAGCATGAGCTGTAAGCTGAGCTTGTGACGTATTTCTATAGTTTTTTATGTCAGGCCATTTTTTTTTATTATGCAGCTTATACGACTTTTGAACATTTATATTAGGAAGCATTGAGTTTGGTCACCCTATATAAGCCTTGGGACTGCCTGGCGAATACTGAATATGTATTGATTTGTCTCGGCTTAGCCAGCTTGATGGTTAACATACGCTAGTCCAGTTCTGAGCCGATTCCTAACCTCACGTACGGGTATCTGACCATTACTGTTGTCGGATTTAAGTAACTGTTAGGATGGAGATTAAATGGAGATGTAGTTGTTATATATCGTCCTTTAGTTTGGTAACCGATACTGTTGGTATTGTTCGACATTTTAACTTCCGGTTTACGTAGTTAGAGGATTAGATTGTCAAGCAGCCATTATTCTCTTCCTGGTTTTATGAATGTATTTGTCTACAGTTTGCATTATACGTGACAATGATGAGTAGTTTATCATGGATCAATCAGAATCGTTGTTGTGATTGTTTGTGCAACTATCAATACCGATTTTATCCTAAATAGCGATAAATTTATTATCTTGTTACTAATGCGTATAGTTGACAGGTATAGTTGGTGTTGTGTTTAAATCATTTCTATTAGCATTGGTTCGCTTCGTTTAACTGAAAATTGTCTTTCAGAAACAAAGTGACAGTATATTATTTAAAACCAAACAATTGATAAAATTCGAAATAGTGATGAAGAAAAATAAATGATAAAAGTTTGAAAAAATTTTTTGAACAAAGTTCAAGACTTAAATCAGTTTCTTTTCCCCTTCTAAACTAGGAAATTGATGACCGATCAGTGTCAGAACGAATTCTCTGCCTGGTAGCATGATATTCATGAAAATTAATTATGCATTTAATCCAACCGGAAACAATCTGTCTGTATTTTCTCCGGAAATGTAAAATTATTCTCCAATAATGAATATTCAGAGAGCAACTAAAATCTGAAGTATTTCCAAACTAGTGCTGCTCCTGTCAAATCCAGGGTGGCGTCACGATATTTTACACTATTCAATCTATCGCTCGATCTTCCCGATAGGTCGTTTCCCTATAGAGTTTCTTTTTTCTTCTTCTTTCCACCGTCTTATGTATCATTGCAATCTGATAGCGTCCGACAAACGCTCGAGTGAAAGTGAAAAGAAATCGTGGGAAATGTAGTAAATTCCCTTTGCGGTGAAAGCGCTAACCTGTTTCTATAAAGTCCGAGACCTTGTCAGAGGCAGCCTTGACTCGAGCAATCCATATTGCCACGTAGTCTGTTAGCGATCAGTTGCCACAAACCTCGAGCAGGCCACGAATCTAAAACTCCCGAGCTACACAAACTGGGACTTTTAGCTCTGAGCTGAGAACAAAGAACTTGGACGTTGAAACCGAGAACACAAAGAGGCCATTAAGCATCGTGATAAGGCTCACGCTAACTTGACGTTACGAAGATACGATCTGTCGTCGTGTTAAGGTGCAGACGTTGAAGGTCTCGAAGCGAGAGAATTGATCGAATCGAGTGTATGAGCAGAGAACAAAGGGAAAAACAATATCTCTACATAAATGAAGATTCTCGTTTAGGGATTTCACTAGGAGGCGAATTATAAAAACACGTGATTTATACTCATTTTCAAAGACATAGCTAACACGGCTAATTGCTTGAATAATTCAAATATTGTAACGACTCTGGTATGGGTACGTAAGTAACGTGTATTCACGTATTTTGTGAAAATTCATTTTATATCGTTCAACATATCGAACCCGAAAGAGAAAGAGACAGATTGGCGGGGTGGAAGTTGGAGGTAAAATAGCAGGAAACTTGTTTTCTGTATTCTCGAGTACTTCGTGTAAAAAATACTAGAAACTCTTCGAAGTTTTGCACTCGTGACGGCACTATGAAACTATTATTACTTATAAGGAAAATTTTAATCTTTGCTTGTTAAGGGTAGACAGCAGATATCGACATTAATTTTTGATAGTGCAAAAACTTATTTTGAAATTTTTTCTCATCACATAATTTTTTTATGTCACTTGACATCGATTGACCTTATATCACGAGTAATTATACATATATGAAAAAGGAACATTATTATTTTTTCTTACCCTCTTTTGTAACAGCTTTTACGTTTCACCCTCTTTCTGGTAAATAATTTATGTGCGGTTGTCTGGTCGATGACCTGTGACTCATTTCTTCTATATTGAAACTAATAATACCAAAAACTTTATTGACAAGTGCCACTATTCGAAGAGATTATAAATTAAAGAAGCAAACTGGTATTAGTTGAAATTATAAAAAGTAATTAATAAACGTATATTGTTGTCTTTATTCTATTCTTCGAAAATACGCTTCTTCGGACTCCTCCATTTCAAAGAGAATTTGGAGTACGATTTTAGGTAAAATATAAAAAAAGTCTCAAAATTAAAAAATAATTAAATTCATATTAAATCCAATTTTCTATCACTTTGTATCCGTCTTCAGACATTTCGTAGTATAGAATTCTTTTATAATATGTTGCGTCTATTATTCCTATTACAAATATCTCAATTTACACTTTTAACTTCTTTACCTTTTTTTCATCTCTACCCTTCATTAACATCCAACATTGCAACGGCATTCGATACGTCACTCGCACGAACTTTGATCCTCGGAAGGAGCTGCATTCACGCACCACTATTTTCTCTAACCTTCACCTATACCGATACCTCGACAAAATTAAGAGCCACCCTTATCGCGAAAATTATGTTTCTTTCATAACCCTTCGTCACGACTCTGTTAATCACACTTCTTACCTGATGTTGATTTTTAAGAACGATAATAACCGCCTTCAAACCAGCTTAGCCGCTCCCCACAAATCCATGTCAGTATTTACATCCTTTAAGTTGGCAGGGCGCAAACACAAATTTTGCCAAGAAAATCCTCCGACTATTTTTTTTTCATTTTTTCCCTCTTCTTTGTCATTTTGCTCCATTGTCTTTCTTTCAATTACACTCCGGACTCTGATAAAGTCAAAGGTCAAAATTTCGTCGTTGCCAATTTTTCTTTTCGTTAAAAGAAAACGATCCTATCGCGGTACGTGGTACACGGTGCACGTAGCAGGCCGGTGTTACTGTGCGGAAATGGAGCAGAAAGGTCGGAAAATTTGCGAGAACGTCCGTATAACATTGTAGCGATGCTTCGTAGTTCCGTTTTACGCTTGCGTTACGATCGTCGTACGTTAATGGACCGATAAAAGTT